GACAAATGCATGCAGTCATATAGCCACCATTGTAATCACAGTTTAGAATGGTCATTCACCCCCAAAACATCCCCATGTCCCTTTGAAATGAATCTTTCCTCTCCAGGAGACACCCTAGCTCTGTGGAAACAGTGGTCCGTTTTATACCCCTATAATTTACCTTTTCCAGAGTGTCATATAAATAAGATGATACGGGCTGCTGCAAATGTTCATGTATGGAGTTTTACATGAACATAATTTTATTTCACTTGGGTAAATAAGAATGCATTTGCTGGATTATGTGATAAGTGTGTATTTAACTTTATAAAAAACTGTCAGACTTTTCCAACATGGCTGTGCTACTTAGTATTTCATGAATGTTCTTGTCAGGTTTTTTTTTCCCTTTCAGAAATTCTAATAAGTTGGTAATACCTCTTGGTTTTAATTTGCATTTCTCTAATGACTGTTGATGTTGAACAGCTTTTCATGTGCTTATTTGCCATCCATATACAGTTGACCCTTGAACAGCACAGGGGTTTGGGGCAGACTTCCCACTCAGTCTAAAATCTGTGCATACCTTATAGTCAGTGTACCATTTTACATCCCCACCTGCAATGTGAGAGATTTTTGGTTCTTACATATTTTTGTGAACACTTGGGATGATCAGTCTTTTAAATTTTATCCTAAATGTGTAGTGTATATTTCCATTAAGTTTTTAAATTTCATTTCTCTTATAAATAAGGGTGTGTCTCTTTTTATTTCTTATTTGCCATCCATATATCTGCTTTGATATAGTGTCTTTCTCCCATTTTTCCCTTGGTTGCTTGTGTTCTTATTATTGAGTTTTGAAAGTTCTCTGTAGATCTGGATACAAGTCCTTTATCCTGTATATTCTTTGCAAATATCTTCTCCTAGACCATGGCTTACCTTTTCATTCTCTTCACAGGGCCTTTTGACGAGCAGACATTTTTTTATTTTGATAAAGTCCAGTCTATCAATTTGTTCCAAATCACAAAGCTTTTCTCCTATGTTGTCTTCTAGAATTTTTAAGGGTTTAGGTTTACATTTAAATCTATGATTCATTTTGAGTTTATTTTTGTATATGGTACAAGGTATGATTGAAGTTCCTTTTTTTGCATATGGATATACAGTTGTTCAAGCACAATATGTTAAAAATACTATCCTTTCTCCACTATATTGCCTTTGTACCTTAGTTGAAAATAGTTGTCCATATATATGAGGGTCTGTTTTTAGATACTCCATCTGTTCCATTGATCTGTCTATTTTGACACTATCTTAATTATCATAATTTTACAATAAGTATTAAATTTTTTTCAAAAACTTTTGACTATTCTAGCTGTTTTCCATTTCTATATACATTTTATTATCAGACTCTGTGTAAGTTTTAGAATTGTATTTTCAATTTATATTTTTTAAAAAATTGTGATTTTGATTGCATTGAATCTATAGATCAATTTGAGGAGAATTAACATCTTAACAATATTGAGTCTTCCAACCCATGATCACAATAAATGTCTTAATTACTCTGTTTTTTCTTGTAGGGTTCAGTGTACAGGTCTTGGACATTTTTTGCTAGATTTGTCTCTAAGTATTTTATATTTTTCGTGGTATTGTGTATGGTATTTAAAGTTTTAAAAATTTCCAATTGATTATTGCTGCCATATAGAAGTAGAGATGATTCTGTATCTTGTATCCTCCAAACTTGCCAAACTCACTTAATAGTTCCAGTAGGTTTTCTGTAGATTTTATTGGACTTTCTACATACACAGTCATATCTTTTGGGAAGAAAGACAGTTTTGCTTCTTCCTTTCAAATCTAGTCACCTTCTATTTCTTTTTCTTTCTTTATTGCACTGGTCAGAAGCTCTAGTACAATGTTAAATAGAAGTAGTGAGAGCAGACATGTTTGTTTTGCTGAACTTATTGGGAAAACAGTCTTTCAACATTAAGTATAATATTGACTGTTGCTTTTTCATACATATCCTTTATCAGATGAATAAATTCCCTTCTATTCCTAGTTTACTGAGAGTTTTTAAAAATTAGAGATAGGTATTGAATTTTGTTAGACCTGTTTTCTGCATCTTTTGATATGATTATATAGTTTTTTAGGTTTTAAAATAGTGACTTACATTGATTTTCTAAGGTTAATACAATCTTGATTAATAAGATAAACTTCATTTGGTCATAGTGACTTTATACATTGTTGAATTCAACTTGCTAAAGTTTTGTTTAGATATTTTCTATCTACATTCATGAGTGATACTGTTTTTTGTCTCTCTTTTCTTGTTACGTCTTCATCTGGCTTTGGTATCAGGATAATGCTGGCTTCATAGAATGAGTTGGGAAGTATTCCAACCTTTTAACTACAATTTCAACTTCATTAGTAAATGTAGGGCTGTTGAACTTCTCTGTATCTTGAGTGAGCTTTGGTGCTTTTTGTCCTTCAAGGACTTTGTATTAGCATAACATTACTTCTTACCTTTCTATTATCTGCAGAAATGGGGCATTTCTGATATTGGTAATTTGTGTCTTCTCTCTGATTAATCTGGTTAGAGACTTACCAATTTTATTGATCTTCTCAAATATCCAGCTTTTATTTTAATTGATTTTTCTCTATCCTGTCTTCTGTGTCACTGATTGTCTTGAATCTCTTTATTATTTCTTTTATTTTACTTAGGGTTTAATTCACTCTCTTATTTCTGGTTTCTTTAGATGAGAGCTATGTATGTAACATGACCTTCTTCTATGCAGTAATTATAATCATTGTTGTAATGACCTTTTCTGCCAGTTTTAACACCTGTCAGTTCCTGGTTGGTTTCAGTTGCATGATTTTTTTTTCTTTATTTCAAGTCATATTTTCTTGCTTATTGGAAAGCCCAGTAATTTGGGGTTGTATGCCAGACAGTGTGAATTTTACGATGTTGAGTGCTGGATATTTTTATATTCATATAGCTATTCTTGATATATATTTTGAGACACAACTAAGTTAATTGGAAATAATTTAATCTTTTCAGATATGGCTTTTAGATTTGTTAGGTGAGAATGGAATGGTGTTCAGTCTAGTGCTCATTATTCACCACTACTGAGATAAGACCCCTTCTGTGCACTCTACTCAGTGTCCCTTTAATTATGAGGTTCATGTCTGACTGATAAGAACAGGCACTGTTTCCTACCCTGTGTGACCGCTGGGCACTGTTACCTTTAATCCTTTGAGCTCATCCTTTCTCCAGCCTCAGGTAGTTTCCTCATGTGCTTGTGCTGATCAGTACTCATCTGAATACTTAAGGGGGACCTTGTGCAGATCTCCTGAGTTCTCTCTCTCTGCATCTCCCTCCTCTGAGGTTCTCTGTCCTGTGAATTGCTGCTTTGGACTCCCTGAACTCTTAGTTCCTTGTCCTCAGTTTAACGTGCTTGCCAGGCTGTGACTGAGCTCCGCTTCCCTGAGTGCACTCTTCTCTTCCATTAAGTCTCTGCTGAAATGTCACCTTCTCAGAAAGGCTTTCTTTGATTATGTTGTCTAAGGTGATACAGCTCTCACTCCCCTCTCACTCTATTAGCATATATTTATCATTTAATTGTCCGTCTCTCCTCACTATAATAAGCTCGATTCTGATCTTAAGTGTGTACCTGACAGAATTTTATGCTCATATGTATCCAATAATATATACAAAACTGTTCATAATAGCCCCACACTGGAAACAGCCCATACACTTGTCAATTACTGCACAGCGATGAAAATGAATAAACTACAGTAACACAAAAGCGTGGATGCACCACAGAAAGACAATGTTAACGAAAGGAGCCAGATACAGAATACTTCATGCTGTTGAAGAAGGCAAGCCAAACTCTAATGTTAGAACTTGGAAAAACTGATTCCCTTTGGAGTATAGGTTTTGCCTAGGTTAGGGGGGCCCAGCATGGCCGTGTGAAGTTCTTTTTCTTGAGCCCAGTGGAGAAATTGATTGAGTAGAATTAATTGAGTTCTAAGTCAGATACTGTCTTCCCTGTAAAATCTTCCCTAGTTCCCTGGACAGAGTCAGTTCCTCTATTTTTTCTGATCCAATATTAGAAAAATTATATTGTAATTTTTACATTTTTCAAAGGGATCATCTTTTTTTTAACTTAAGTATTTTAACTGACTGGTGTATAGTAGTTGCTCTAGAAACATTTTCTGATGGAAGGAGTGAGCAAATGAAGGAACATCTGATAAACAAGTAAGCCAAGGACTTCTGCCTTCTAGTCCTGTTTCCAGTTGCGGGTAGAGAGATTATCACATGTTGTGTCTGGAGAGCCAAGGTTTGTTGGCACCTGTTTATCTTTAGAGAAGAAAAGTGTTGAGACTCCTAGATAACTTCGTGGTGTCAGACAGGAGGTAGAATGAGGTCAGACACCTGAGTTTTGATAACCCTGTAGCTAAAGTAACAAGAACGTCTCTGCCTTCTGGTTAAGAGTGGCTACAGGGACTACAACGTGACTTGGCTTATTCAGTAGACTTTGCCAAGAATATTTTCTCCACAAATTTATGGAAGGACCCAGTAAAGTTATCTGCTAAGATTAAAAATCTATTTGCTTTGCAGGGCTTTTTTCCCACACAAAAATTCTATTATACCAAGTTACTATAACTTAAGAGAGTACTCTTTGTTCCTCTTAATTTTGAAAATTTCAATAACATAAACTTGGAAAGGTTAAGAAAATGAAGATAAATACAGCTTACAAAGCAAACTGTGTAGCTCCTGTGAAGGGAAGTTCCTTCCAAGTTTGTCCTTCCTGGAAGTGCCTGGACCTCAGCAATGATTTAGGTGAGCTCCAAATGATGAGTTTAAATTTCTGTGCCAGGTTTTATTAAGGAACCCAGGATAGCATCTGTTCACTTTGAAAAGAATTCTGGTAAGTCAGCAGTGCCTTAAAATTTTAAATGTATATTTTGATTAACACATTTTTACTGGCACGCATATTGTTTCTTCTTGGCTAATACTACTGTGAACATGTGTGTTTCCGTAGCTGCGGTGCTCCCATTCAAGTTTCCGAGGTGAAGCTGCTTTCCTTTTCATCAGGGCAACTCACCGTTTTCCTCCCTGCTGAAGTGAAGGCCATCGGGACGGAGAACGATCATGTCCTGCCTCTGCAAGAGCTGGCCATGAGGAGTCTGCATCACACCTACCACAGCTTTCTGAAAGGTACATGGGACCTTTCTTTTCTTTTTTCATTTTTTTCTTTGTTTTGTTTTTCCTGCCTTTTATTCAGTGAGCTCAGAAATGGTTTTATGCTACTCTGGTGTTCGTTTTTTAAAATTGTGGTAAAAATATACTTGACATAAAATTGGCCATTTTAACCATTTTTAAGTATTCAGTTAGTTCAGTGGCATTAAGTATATGAATGTTGTAGTGCAATGGGACTTTTTTTTAAAAGAGCAAACTTTTAATATTTTATCAACACTGATCTCTTCAGCATCCCCTACAGACAGAGAAGCATTCACTAAATATGGTCTTCAGTGACAAAGGACAGAGGTTAAACGTTAAACTGTGTGGTTTAAATGAAAGAAATTGGTGTTTGGGAACATATATTTGTGGAAGTGAGAAGGCTGGCAGGAGCCAGCCTTTCTTTAGTAGAAAAAAATCTGCAAAGATCTTATCCTTAAAACAAAGTTGGGTACTTCTTCTAACAGAGCAGGCTTTTGCCTTATAGCCTCCTCACATCTGAGAAATTTATCTACCTTAGGGGAGAATAATCAGGAGCCTTAGGCAGTATTACCACAGCATTCCGGCTCTTGGTTTGGGAAGGATTTGGCAGTATGTAGATGTCGTAGGTGGTGGACTGATCTCTGAGCTGCTTTAAGATAACACTAGGCAATACTAATAAGAAAATACATTTCATGTGTTTTTAAAACTGCTAAATGTTTTGTTTTGCTTAAAAAAAATAGGTCCATACAAAAACATATAACGTTAACCTTCCAGGAATGTCCAGTACAAAATTAAGTTGTTTTTTAAAACCGAACACAAAACTGAAATTATTCACCTATGAGCAAACCACATTTTTCTCAATGGTTATTGACAAGTCTTGACAGATATAAAAGATGATAAAGTCATTTGTATTTCCTTCCCAAAGATGCTTCAGTGATTTTTAGGTTTTACCTCATTATAACCATTTCTCTCTCCACTGGATGTTAACTATCAGAGCAACTCAGTGTTCATTTGTGCTCAAGATTGCTTGGGCCACTGGGATGTTTTGCTTGAAACATTTCTTTTTTGCAGCTCAGACTAAACTGAAAAGAAGCACCCTGTTTTTGTTTTTAATTAATGACAGCTCATCAGAGTGAGATGAGGAAAAGCTTGGTTTCATCATTTTTCATTTTCTTTGATTTTTTTGTTTCCCTTTTGCATTCTTTTCAGTAAATATAATTTAGCTTGATAGATTCTGAATGCCAGGTAGACTTAGAAAGAACTTAATGAAAGTCAGTTTTAGTCTTCATTCCCAGTCCTTTTTTTTATTCTCTGTCTTTTATAGAAGGTTACAGACCCTCTCAAGGTAAACAATGCCTTTTCAGCCTTTGTTCTTAAAGAATATTTGGTCTTATTCTTTACTTGCATCTATATCAGGACAGCTTCTGGTTGCTCTTCAAAGAGTAGAAGTAGGTTTTCTTTTAGTATCAAAAATGTTTAAAAAAAATTCTTTCACTTCCAAATAATGTTATGTTTTTATTCAGTGCCTGTCAGATCACAGAATCTTCAGCATACAGTACTTTTAACTAACTGGACTTGCTTGGTAACAAAGAGAAGTATTTTAAGAAGCCTAGTTCAAGGAAATCTCATTTTTTATTTGTGCGTGATTTTCTCTTGTGTTCCAGATTTGAACTTTCTGTCTCCAGTCTCATTACCCAGAAGTCTCCTGGAGCTGCTGCACTGCCCCCTGGGGCACTGTCACCGGTGTAGTGAGCCCATGTTCACCATCGTCTACCCTAAGCTCTTTCCCCTGAGAGAGACGCCAATGGCAGGGCTGCACCAGGGGTAATCATGCCTAAGTGGGCACCACGGCTTACACCTGGGTGAGGGGCGGGGCCGTGGGGAGGGGTGGAGGACACGCACAGAAGTGTCATTAGATCAGTAGTTTCAAAGGGGCATGGAGTGCTTCCTACGGCACAGCTAAGTGAAACAAATGCATTTTCAGCATCACAGGAAAGCTGGATTTCCCTTTGTTCCATTTTTGGTCACACACAGAACGGTTTTACTGTATGTATTATTTAGAGTCGCTCAATCTTTTAGGAGTATTTTCCTGCTATTCCCCTATTCACAATAGTTTTTAGGCAATAAGGAATGTAAGAGCAAAGTATTTGTTATATAACAGGTCCAGCCCAGCCCTTCCATTTAGTTCACACTGCTGGCTGAAGCTGTGTGGCTGAACACTGCATGTGTGTATGTGCGCGTGCGCGCAAGCGTGTGTTTCTGTTCTGAGTTTCTAACCCTTCCAAATGGCATTCTCTTGCCGCTCTCTGTTTCTTGGCACAGTGCCTTGAATTTGCTAAGAATGTTCACTAAGTAAAAACCCCCATACTGGTAGTTTAAAAAAGGAATACCAGACAATTAAAAATAGGACATGAAATGAAAAATCTCCTATTAGCACAACCTCAGCTTATAGATTTTCTAAATTTAGGATCTTCTAAGTTCACATTTTTCAAAGTTGAAAAAAAAGAGTACTATTATACCTCACTTATCCATCAAATGTGGTATTTTGGGTTAGTACATTTTCCAGATAACTTGTTACCCCTATTCATTGCCAAGAAGCGTTTCCTTTGTAATCATTTTTTTAGAATGAGAGCAAGCGTGGGCAGGGTGCAGAACCTCTCTGAGCCTGAAAATGGGGATAGAACAGCCTGCTGGGCAGGGCCATCTGAGGATTAGCAGATGATGAAGGCAAACGCCTGGCACATAATGGGTGTTCAGCAAATGGTAGTTACCTTTTCCATCTCTCTACCCATTCCCCCCCAAACTGCATTTATCTCTTCTTGCCCTGAATAATCCCATTTTGCTATACTTTCAGTTCCCTGTTTCAACTTTATGTATTTTTTTTAACGCTTCTGCTTTACCATACCTGCCTACAGAAGCCCTCCTCCAAACCTTTCTAATTTGCTACTTCCGATCATAGGTGATCATATCACCAAGTTTAGTGAAATTCCATTTAAATTAGAGTTAAAAGGACTGAATCAGAATTTGAGTGTTACTGCATGAGTAAAAGTGACAAATGAAATAGACACACCAATGAGACGCAGTAGTGATTAGAGATCAAGTGCACAGCCCCTGATCCTGACTCCTCCCCTGAGAGATCTTGGGCAAATTACTTCACATCTCTGAGCTTCATCTTTTTGTCAATAAAATGAACATAGTAATAAAATCTATTTAATAAGGTCATTGTGAGGATTAAGTGAGCTCATTCATCTAAAGAGCCCAGGATGGTTAAGTAAATGTTAACTACTATCTATTTTTGTAGCTCAGAGTCTTTTAAAACTTCCTTTCGTGTGTGTGTCTTTAGCAAATAATCTAATTAGTAAGATATCGTCATAGGAAAATCTTAACTAATTCATCAAACTATAGTAAAATCCTTATGCATTGTTGTCACACAATTTCCTACAGAAGATTTTTCCTTACTGAAAATACGAAAATGAAAACAATTCAATATGGTCAGGATGGCTGTCAGTAGCTGATAAAATTCTAAATACCTGTTTAAAAAGATAAAGTTTCTTTTTATCATGATTATTAACTTGTGAAAATAAAGTAGATCCTTCAAATGAAGTCACTTTTGTGTTATCGGTAAATGAGATTTGAGGAACTTATTGTTTACATACTCTCTTTACCGCTACTTATTCCCCTGCTTCAACCCAGAAATCAGTGTGAATATCTTACATTGTTTTAGAACATTGATATAATAGTATTAGTTTAATAAAATGAGTGTATTAGATACATAGGACTTAGGCAACACCCTTTTGTTGCACAAAGCCAGAAGTGCCTGTGTTTATAGCAAAAATGAAAAGCCAAGATGTAAACACGGCCTTCTGTGGTGAGTTAATGCTAAGGTCTGAAACTGAGAGTTTGTGGCTTCATCTGGTCCACCAGGCTCTGCTCCTTCCCGTGTTGCTATGGAGACTGCATTATAAGCTTTGACTTTAGTTTCTACCATAGTCTTTAAAGTACTTTCTTTTGTAACTGAAAACCAAATACTTGAATCAGTAGTTTATTGCTGAAAATAAAATCAATATTTTAAAATCAAAAACTCTAAAAGGTCTTAATAATATTACTTTAAAATTTTCTAATACATTGAGTTTAGAGGGGAAGGTATAGCTCAGTGGTAGAGCACGTGCCCAGCATGCACTAGGTCCTGGGTTCAGTGGTCAGTACCTTCATTAAAAAAGTAAACCTAATCACCTCCCCCTGCGTGGGGGTGGGTATTCAATTTACATTGCTTGTCATAAAATAGTACATTGTATCAGCCAATAGCTAAATTAATATGGACATGTGGCATTATTCTAGAAAAACATTGAATATTCTTCTAAAACACCAAGTCCCATACAAGTGTTAGTTCCAACCTGAATTTAATACAGAGTAAGGTAAAAAGAAATTACAGTATTTTGCATAAACAATAAATACCCAGACCTTCAACTATCTACAGCAGAGTGGCTAGAATGTTCATGACTTTTGATAGTTATAGGCATAGCAAATGTTCATTCTCCAACATAACTGTTCATTTATTAAAATGGAGAATATCAGCTTCGAGGGTATTTATTAGTATAGCAACACATCTGGCTTTTCCCACGCAGGTATGAGTCTCACAAGTTCTGTATTTCCCAACAGGAAATCAGACTTCCCAAGATTTTTCAGGGGTGTTTTATTAGTTTCCTAGGGATGCTGCAGCAAAATGCCACAAAACTGGGTGGTTTAAACAATAGAAATCTATTGTCCCAAAGCTCTGAAGGCTAGAAATCTGAAATCGAGATGCTGGCAGGATTGGTTCCTTCGGAGGGCTGTGGTAGAAGGATCTGGTCCAGCCCCACTTCTTGCCTTGTAGATGGCCATCTTCTCCCTTCATCTCTTCACATCATCTTACCTCTGTGTGTGTGTGTCTATCTCAGTGTCCGAATCTCCCTTTTTAATAAGGACACCAGGGATATTGCCCTTGGGACACACCCTAAGACCTCATCCTAACTTCACTAATTACACCTGCAATGATCCTGTTTCCAAATAAGATTATTGTATTACTTCACTAGGGCCACCAAAACAAAATACCATAGGCTGGGTGACTTAAACAACAGAAACTTGATCTCTCACAGTTCTGGAAGCTGGAAATCCAAAGTCAGGGTGCACTAGGGCAGGCTGCACTGAGGGCTCTCTTGCTGGTTTGAAGATGGCTGCTTTCTTGCTGCCTCACTTGGCAGAGAGAACATGAGCACACCTGTGCACAAGCTGACTGGTGTCTCTTCTTATAAAGAGCACAAATCCCATCATGAAGACACCACCCTCATGATTTCATCTAAACCTGGTATCTCTGAGAGGCCTCATCTCCAGAAACTATCACATTGAAGGTTCAGACTTAAACATATAAATTAGTGTGGACACAGTTCAGTCCATAACAGTCCTATCCTGGGGTAATGGGGATTAGAATGTCAACATATGTATTTGGAGGAGGGGATACCGTTCAACCCGTAACAGTCTGTCCTCTGACTCCAAAAATTCATGTCCTTCTCACATGCAAAATAAATTCACCCCATCCCAACACTCCCAAAATCCTAACCCATTCCAGTATCAAGTCTTAAGCTCAAAATCTCATCTTAAACATCTAAGTCAGGTATGGATAAAACTCAGGTATAACTCATCCTGGGACAAAACTCCTCTCCATCTGTGAACCTGTAAAACTGGATGAGTTTTCTGTTTACAGTATTAATGCTGGGACAGGCATAAGATAGGCATTCCCTTTACAAAAGGGCAAATTCTGTTAGAATTAGATTTTAATGCTTGAGATTAATCCTCTGGCCAGATACTGTGTCCTTTAGGCCCACTGCGGTGGTGACCCCACCCCCTCAGCCCTGGGTGGGGCCCTGCCCTCTAACACCAAGGAAGTTGCCCCACCCTCTGGAATTGAAGAAGTGGCCCCATCCCAGGGGTTGTTACACTCTACTTGAGAGCCCTATTGCCTGTTCCCTGCCTGTAGAATCCCAGAAGCCTGACAGCCTTTCTCCACCCTGTCGCATCTCTGTGCAGGCTGTCAGCCTTTCTGTGGAAATGGTTAATGGGCTCCACAAGCAACATGCCTCATCTCTTCACAAATGGTTATCCAGCCACACCCTGGGAGTTCTCTCCAGAGCATGCTTTCTCATTTTTTTACAACATAAATGGGTTGAAAATTTTCCAAATCCTCAAGTTCTGGTTTCTTTTTGCCAAACAATTCCCTCAGTTGATCTCCCTCCTCTCACACTTGACTGTAAGCAGCAAAGAGAAGCCAGGCCATGCCTTCAGTGCTTAGACATCGCCCCAGCTACATCCAGGCAAAACCTCGTCTTACTGTGCTTCACTTTAAATTGCACTTTGCAGATACTGCATTTTCTTTACAAATTGAAGGTTTGTGGCAACCCTGCGTCAAGCAAGTCTGGTGCCGTCTTTTCCAGCAGCATTGGCTCACTTCGTGTCTCTGTCACGTTTTGGTAGTTCTCACAGTATTTCAGACTTCTTCATTATTATTGTACTTGTTATGGTGATCCGTCATCAGTGATCTTTGATGTTTCTACTATGACTAACTGAAGGCTCAGGTGATACATTTTTCAGCAATAAAATATTTTTAATTAAGGTATGTACTTTTTTCTAGACATAATGCTATTGCACACTTTAAAGGCTATAATATAGTGTGAACATAACTTTTATATGCACTGGGAAACCAAAAACTTTGTGTGACTCGCTTTATTGCCATGTTTGCTTTATTGCAGCGGTCTGGAACTGAACCCACACTATCCGAGGTATGCCTACATCTAAGTTCACCAGTTGCAATTTCTGTTTTCCACCCAAC